CTATGGTAACGTGACATATCAACAAAATGAAATCATAGAATTGTAGAGAAAGGTCTTAGCTTTAATTCTATGATTTGTTTTTTGGGTCATACATTTCCATTTTTGGAGAGGATATAGGATCTACACAGCCAATAAAAAGTTCAGCGACTAAGTGACTTGCACCATAGTAATAATAGGCAAGAAATTTATAATATTATTAATGAAAATAGAAAAAATAATCAATAATGTATTCCTGGAGAAGCGGTGTTAAAAACAAACAACCTAAGCCCATTCACCACCCGATGAGGACCATTAAATATCCATACATAATTCGAATTTGCCCAATATCTGCTACCACATAGGTCGGGTCCACCAACCCACAAATGTTATCGTATTTCCAAGTATGAATCGAAGTCAGGGGAAATCGTGTGAAACGCACAAGCTCCTTCGTAATTTTCTCCTGTTCCATCAATGAAAGGTTGTCCAGCAAGAAGTTTGACTATCGGCATAACATCATCATCATTCCAATGCTTAGGAGATTTACTTGAGAGCTTATTTACAGATTCCAAAAGAAGTTTACCTAAAAGTATATATAAAGTGGCAAGTTTTAAAAAAAATTTTTGCATAAAATATTTAGAGACAAAGAGCATACATTGTAGTGGTTCTGGATTTAGTATTGCAGTGCACATAAAGTCTGTATCTTCATCTGGGTCATCACACCAGGCTTGATATGTGTCATTGGTCTCATCCTGGATTCTCCATGTTTTCTTTCTGAACCATTAGTCTAAACATAAAAAGCATATTAGGGTATGAAAAGAGAAGAGCTGTCATACTAATAAATTATAACCAGCTTACTTTGAAAAAAGAAATTTAAAACAAATATATATAAAAAAAAACACATCATTTGATCATATCAGCCGATTTGGTTTTCTGGGCCTTTTTTCAAACCTTATGTCTTATTGTGTCTTGATGTTAAACACGAGTATTTTTAATGTGTAAACTGGTCGGTAGAATGATAATTACCCTAAAAAAAATTATCTGCTCTGCTAAAAAAACTAATTTACTATTCATCAACCCGTCAAACCAATGGCCCCACCTCAAAACCAATGGGTTTTTGCTAGTATAAAGTATTCATAATGTTATGATCATACCATACTGAATTTGGGGGTTCAAACAAAATCAGTGCATATGTCATGAATCTTGATTTAGTGGACCTCGATTTAGCAGATACTAATTAAAAATCTCAGTTTTACTGATAAACAGTTCCATAATAAACCTTAATAAAAACCATCTCGATAACAGATTTTTTTAAACCAAGATTTATTGTGTAATGACAATTATAGACTTTTGATTTACATTATATTGCCAATTTGCGTTTTAAAACAATTTTTCCTAAATAGTAAAAGTATTATTGTAAAGGTTACATGAATAAAAGTTTGTGGATGAGGCATAATTAGGTTTAATATCACAATTAGGTCATAATGTCATAATCAATGTCCAAAATATGTATGGCTGAGTTTGAATTAACTTTTGAGCTGCACTCATTTATTAATCACAAGCTTTTATTATTAATGTTTGTCAATTTAAATTTATTGCCTCTCTCTTGTAGCTTTGATGAGTCTGTTAGTACACATCTGCTAAAATATTTATAAACTAAAATAAAAATATCAATGCAAATAAAAAATAGTACCTCTGTCATTAACACATCTTCAGACCCAAACCCATACCAAACAACATCATTCACGTTTTG